TTGATTTTTTAATAATTTGCGGACATTAAATCGTCGGACACTTATATCACTATTTTGTACAGTAAATTTAAAAGTGGAAAAAATGAAAATTAGATATGTGGTAATCGATTTTTCATACCCCGTGAAAATTCCGATTTCCAGCTGTCGGACTGAAAAAACGCGGCTTGAAATTTGTCGGACAACAATACTTTTTGACTGAATTAATTATTTACAATTAATTTTACTAAAAATTACCTATGTGGTAATTGATTTTCAATACCCTGTTATTTTGGCATGTTTCGACCGGTAGACACGTCAATGTCGGAGGAATTTCTGTCGGACAAATTTAAATCGGCATTTGCAACAACATTTCCAGTTACTTAAGCTAAAAATAAAAGATGTGGTCGTGAGTTTTCAAGACCCCGGGAAATTGCCATGTTTTTGGACTTTTCCGAGTGGAAAAGCGGAGGAATCGAGAAAAGTCGTAGAGGAAAAATATGGTAGACTCGTCAAAAGGATGCCCCTCAGGAGTTATAAAGTATGTGGTAATCAACTTTCCAGAGGGGGCCTGTACTGTGGACTATTATGACCGACGATTACAATTTATAGAAGAAATGAGTGAACGGTGTATTGGCAATCCGAATTTCCTGTACAATATCTGATTCAAACCCACATTTATTAAAGAGTCTCACACACAACATTCTGAAAAGTTGAATGTCTGGGCAGGCATCTTAGACAATAACTTAATCGGCCCATTCTTTTTGCAAGGTAATTTGACTGGGGAGATATATTTTACTTTGCTTTAAGACAATATTGTTCCTGAACAAAGGACGTAAGGGAGGTCATTGCCGAAGATAATAACTTGTCACAACATGAAGTGTTTTTTCAACAAGATGGGGCTTCAGACCATTATGCAGCCCCCTTTCGGCAATTCCTCAACGAAAATTTTAGAGGTCATTGGATTGGCCGTAGGGGATCTATTGAGTGGCCTGCAAGGTCCCCTGATCTATTCCTGTCTAGACTTATAAAACACAGCCAATGTCTTAGGCTCCCCAGCTTTTACTTGGAAACCACGAATCTGTGCTCTAAACTTGGTATTTGGAATTACAATTCAATAATATCAAATTGTTTCTGAATTTTTTTTGTGTACTTGTCAGACAAACTGTTGTCTATAAAAAGTGTCAAAACTTATCTGCGAACTGTTTTTCTTGCTGGGATTGCGTTCTCAAGAACCAAACAAAGAAACCGTACCAAATTACCGTAAGTTAAGCCCGATTATTACTGAAATTTGGCAAGACGCAGTCCCTGCCGTCTGGGGAGTTCCTAGGGATGATCAGATGGACACTCACGCAATAACAGAACTTCATTTCACCCCGCTGGGTGAAAGAAGAATTTGCGGAGGACATGGCGCCCAACGTGGGGCCGCGAACTACGACCGCGAGATTACGATCCACGCTCTCCCGACTGAGACGCCCTAGGCGAATCAAAATAGACGAAGTCCAATAGACAAGATGTTGTGTATGGGAGAAGAAGATAGAGACGAAACTCCTGTTCTGGATTATCGAGTAAAAGAAAAAATCCAGTGGCGCCCAAACAAACCGACAAATTTCGAAGAACCAATGACCAGTGATGACGTAATCAATAGCGTGGAAAGAAGAGCGATGGAAGCGCTAGAGCAAATCTTTTCTAAATTCGGGGATGTTACAGACGCCTGCAAAGAGAAAGGTGGCCTTGATAATGCCCACGTACGAAGGGAGTGAATATGAGGATCCACGGAAGTTTATAAATGGCATACAGAGATATTTTCTGAACGAGAATATTCCGGAGGAGGAATGGACTAGGCAAGCCGCAAATCAGTTACGAGGCAACGCGCGGATGTGGCATCAAAACTTTCCGTCGTTTAGCCACACATTTATGGAATTTAGACAGCAACTGATACAAAAATATGATAATCCCCAAATCCGAATGAAATTACAGAGTGAGTTGTTTGGCAGGAGGCAAGGGAGTGAAGAGGTGTCTATTTTCATAGCGAGGAAGGTAGCATTGTTTAGAAGGATCCAGCTTAATTTTGACGAGAATATGATGGTGGAACAGAAAAAGGTAATGCTCTTGCCGGAAATTCGCACCAGTTTTGTGGGAATAGAGATAACAACTATTACCCAACTGACGCAACTAGCAGTAGAAGTAGAAATAAATCTTAGAGAAGTGGAGCAAAGAAAACCCAATACGACGTTGACGCAACTACAAGAAGGAGTTGTAGTCAGAAACCATAGACCCCCGTACCCATGTAGGTATTGTAATGGGGACCATTATAACCGAAATTGTCCAGAGCGGAGAGAAGATAACCCCAGGCCGAGATATCTGATGTTGCTGGCACCAGATATGCACAGCGGACTACGAGGGACCACGAGCCTCCACCGCAGTCCGAAAGACGTCCGTAGATGTCATAGCATAGACCTTATAAACTACTGGACTCGCCCAACTGTCATTTTACCTATATAAACAGCAATCGCTCAGACGTGTGCGAGAGAGATGGAGATAGTAAGGGCCTTAAGCTTCGTTCACAGAATTTCAACTGCAACGCGCTACATTTAATTCAACCAATCAGCTAGCTATACTCGATTCCTTACCCTTTTTTTTCTGTTGGGCCGTATTCAAAAACTTTATAAAAATAATATAGAGACTAAAAGACAAAAAATTTTCATTTTGTCCAGTAGTGTAGGTATGTAAAAGGGTTTATTATATTACTGCCCTAATTACAGTACAATATTTGAATTGTTTTAGCTATAATATTCCAAATTGGTTTTATAATGCCTTCTTTATGTATTTATCCATTTATTTTCCTCATATCGTAAACTCGATCGGTTAACATTACTGCAAGCTCTTCTGACGTAGTTGTTTCAAATATTTCAGATTCTCTTGCTTTGCAGAACTACATAAATTGAAACTATGTCGATGCTTTCTTCGTTCAACATATTATTTGAAGAGAATTTTTGCTGCAGCACATTATAAGCACATTTCAGTTAAAACTTTTTCTTTATATTCGGTTTGATGTTTAAATGACATTTTATTTTGAGGATGGGGGAAATAATTTAATCAAAATATGTTGTCATCAGAGACAACTCTACTTGGTCAATCTTTTCAGAAAGTTGCAAAAAGTGTAAACTTGTTGGTACCGTCATAAGTTCTTTCCTACCTAAGAAATTTAATTTTTTCTCCACTTAAACGTCTCTTCATGCAATTTGTCTAAGAACACGATTGTACCATATTTAGTATTTACGAATCTTTCACATACACTAACTAATTCACACAAATATTCAAGAAATCAATCAATAATGTCAATACATTACATTTACTTCAAAGTTTGTTTACATCATTGTGTACCGGTATACCTTTGTACCATCATTCATTTTACCGGTATTTGTCTCAACTAGCGCGATTGACCTCTCTTTCTAAGGCCTGTCCATAGTTTACTAGGTCTATGTGTCATAGGCTCGCTAACCATCAGACCAGGTCATGCCGACTTACCACGACTACTAGCCAAGTATCAGGACGAAGAAGTTGTAGTTCTTATCGATAGCAGACGGACAAGCAACGAGAGCGCTAGGTCCTGTCACTGTCAAGTTAACTGTCAGCGAACACACAATGGACGTCAAATTGTATATTCTAGCCGATATGGAGGAAGAAATTATCTTCGGGATGCACTGGTTGAGACAGGAGAAAGCGAATTTAGATATTGGATATTGAGCCATGTATTTTGGTCAAACGCAGAGAAAGACTGCCTATTGGCGACCTGCCGAGCAACACTGTGAAAGCTATGCGCTGGTAAATTTAGAAATTACCAATACGGCCCCTGAATGGACCCCACATTATGAGCAAATACTAAACGAATTTCCAGATGTGTTCTACGAGGATCTGAGGCAACCTACTACGACGCTGGTGCAACATAGAATTATTTTAAAAGATACCTGTCCTTTCAAAATACGGTATCAGCATTCGGAAGAGAAAAGAAAGATTATCAAGATTCGCCCTAGATGATCAGATGGACGCTCACGCAATAACAGAACTTCATTTCACCCCGCTGGGCGAAAGAAGAATTTGCGGAGGACACCAGCTTCTCTTCAAGTTCTGCAAGAACGCATAACTGTATGTCAAAGGATAACTGCCGATATGTTGCAGAATGTTAGAGAAGAGATAGAGAATCGATTTTATTATTGCATGGATGTTAGTGGCGGACATTTTGAACAGTTTGTTAGATAAAGTTCACGTGTAGACCTAATTAATAAATTAGTAAGTATTTTTATTTATTTTTATTTTGACAAGTCATTTCGTTACGGATAAAAATAATGAGGAGAAATTGTAGGGTCATAAAGAACTCGATAAGACCTTTAAGAAGAGGTATGGCACGACCCCTATCCCATATTCAAATTTGGGAAGTTGTTCTCTCTCCAGCTAGGGGGTTAAAGCTACGGGGATGAAAAAAACTGAAAAATTGTTCCCCCTCAAATCAAAAGTCGACTTGTCCGAGCGTTTTCCCAGATTTTTATTTTAAACCAAAAAAATCAGGGTGGAAAGTTTCCATTGGCCCACCCTGTATAACGCTTTTGTTAATTTTTTAAGATTTTTTAAACTCAAATACTATTAATAATTAAATTTTCATAAAATTTGACAATGTTTTTTTTAGCTTATAGCCATCATATTGAGCCGCCATTTTGTTTTTTTTTTATAAACAGCGAGTAGCATTTGTAAGTAGACATTTCAATGAAAATTTTGGTCCATGTAATAATAAATATATCTTGCGCCATTAACTTTGATCTTCTTCACGCTTTTATCATTAGAATCTTGTCAGAAGCATGCAACAGTACCATCTTCAAAGATCAATGTTTCATCCAGGAGGACTTCCTTTTTAAGTCTTACCTATTCATGTAAAAAATGGTCAAATCTCTATCAACTGACGATCGATTAATTTTAATGATTTTAGTTCAGTGTCTTGTCAACGTGACGACGCGACGTACGGTAAACTTAATATAATAAATTTCATAATTTGACTAGAGTTAACACGATACAAAACAGAAATTTAGGATTAAAAAAAAGACAGTGGACAAATCGAATAATAAATATATTATCTTCGTTAAATGTAGAAATATATCATTTTTAAGGTTTAACCCAAGAAGACACCCAAACTCTTATTGAAAACGTGGACATCATCTACCACGGAGCAGCTTCAATAAGATTCGATGACCATCTGACAAATAGCATACTGTTGAATACAAGGGGAACTAAAGAAGTTATAGACATAGCATTGCAAGCAAGAAAGTTAGTAACGTTTGTGCATATATCTACTGCATATTGTAATAGCTATAGATCCGAAATAGAGGAAAAAATATATCCAGCACATGCCGATTGGGAAAGTACTATAACATTGGCGGAACAAGTTGATCCACACACTTTAAGTATTCTGTCACCGAAATATATTTATCCTTTACCAAATACTTACACATTTGCAAAATCTTTATCTGAACATGTCGTTAACGATTTGTGCAAAGGCAAACTACTTGCAACCATTGTAAGGCCTTCAATTGGTAAGTAAATCCAGAAAACTGAAATTTAAAATTGAACTGTTTTGACAGAAAAGAAAAAGTTTTAAGATATTTATTTATTGTATTTTTATTAATTTGTCATATTTTACAGCAATATAAATATTATCTTTCAGTGTCTGTATACAAAAATTTATCAGGGGGTAGACCAAACCAAAATAAGATTAAAATTCTTATAAAATGTTTTTAAAGTAATTTTTGGGTGAAGTGTACATCAATTAAAGGTCATGGTGCTTATTTCGATCTGACGCCAGGGGTGGCCCAGGCCAACTTGTTCTCAAGGTTATGTCATCATAACTTTTGCACATCCTAGTTTTATGTAATTTGATTAAGTTTTCCTGAATCGGCAATCGATTCTGAACAAAAAATGTACTTTGGTTTCATAGCTCAAAAATGAAGCGTTTTCGAGTAAATTGGGTCTAAAGTATCGACTGCATTAATTCGTAAAAAATGCATATAAATATTTTATTTGTTGCTATTTAGTAGGTAGGTATCTGTCATTATAAAAAATAAAGATGTTTACAATCGTACATGTCAAAATTAATTACAGTACCTACAGTTACGAGAAATTAAGCTTCCAAAACAGCAAGAATTTTCCAACAACGAGTATGCCGATGATATTTATCTGCGGTTTCTGTGATGGAAATTCATTGGCGGCCTCACGAGAATATCTATGCAAGTCTCCAACACAGCACGTATTGCAACGAGTTTTCCAAAGAGTCCGTGACACCGGGAGTGTTAAAATTGGAAATACCAGAATAAGACGTAATTGGGAAGATGTAAACATTTTAGAAGAAAATGTAATAGACGCTGTTGTTGATGATCCTTCTATCAGTGCCCGAAGAATATCAAGGCAAGTGAACACGAAGCAGCGTCTGGATAATTTTAAACCGAGAAGAACTGCACCCATAGCACCTACATAAAATACAAACATTGCATCCTGGTGATTGCGAAAAAATAATACAATTTTGCAGGTGGTTGTTAGAAACTATCCATAATGACGAAAATTTCCATTAAAAGATATTGTGGAGCGATGAAACTATCTTTACGAGAAATGGTATACTTAAATAATTTTAAAAATTTTCATGTCTGATCCATTGAAAATCCACATGTGATATGACACTCTGCGTTTCAAAGAAGATTCTCGATAAATGTCTGGGGAGGAATCTTCAACGGAGTAATTCTGTCTCAGATTTTTTAGTTCTTTTAGAAAATATTGTTGATGGCGTACTAAATGACGTTCCCTTAGCTTTGCGAAATCAAATGTACCACCAACATGATGAAGCACCTACTCGTAACGGAAGACAGGTATCTGCGTGGCTCGATTGACATTTTTCAGAACGCTGGATTGGGAAAAATGGATGTATTATGTGGCCTCCCAGGTTCCCTGACTTCAACCCACTTGATTTTTTTTACTAGGATCATATTATGAAGCAGCCGGTGCATACCAAACTCAGTAACGCGAGAGACGATTTACTTCAAAAAATTAAAGCAGCCGCCGAGCAAATTCAAGCAACCGTTAATTTGCGAAGGGTTTACAATTCTTGGTCAAACGATGTTCTGCATGCATTCAAGTAAATGGGCAGCATTTCGAGCATTTATTGAAATAATTGTTTTCTATTTTTATTTTTAATATTATCATTTTGCTAACATAATTTCGTTTCTGTTCCATAATTTTCAATTTTATTTTTAGTTTCCCTAGACGTAACAAATTATTAAATAATTCATAGAAACCTTGTTTAGTCTCTTCATATTCATTCAGCTACCTGGGAAACTGTACCTCATCGGTTAATAACATTGTTTTTCATAATGACAGGCACCTACTAGATAACAACAAATAAAATCTTTTCTATGAATTAATGCAGCCGATAATTTAGATCCAATTTTCTCGAAAACGGTTAATTTTTGATCTATGAAACAGGAGCACATTTTTAGTTCAGGATCGATTGCAGATTCAGGAAAACTCAATCAAATTACATAAATCTAGATATGCAAAAGTTATGAAAACATAACCTTGAGGACAAGTTGGCCTAGGCCGCCACTGGCGTCAGATCGAAATAAGCACCTTGTTGTTTTAAGGACCTTTAATATCTATTAAAGTAATTAAAAATTACTTAAATCCCTGAAATAGACCGATCAAAATAACTCATTTAGAGAGTAAAAAAAAATTGTTACCTGAACTTTTATAAGTGGAAATGGTAAAGGGGCTTATAATAAACGAAAAAAAAAATAAATGCGTGAGCAGGGGCGGCGGAGGGTTGATTTGGGGGGTGGAAAAGTTATGAAAAATTGTATCTTTGGGATTTCTGGCTAAAGTTGACGTCAGACAAAAAAATAGCCAATATAAAACTCGTAGATCATGTAAAAATCTACAACTTTTGTAGAAGTTATTTTTTAACATAACCCCAAAATTTCCGAGAAAAATGCGAAAAACCGTTTTTTTTCTGATTTTTTGTTTTTTATTTCTTATTTCCGCAAAAATATTTTAATTTTGACGAAACTTGGTGAAACTATATCTTTCTCTGTCTTAAATAATCTCAAATTTTTTTAGATAAAAAAATCAAGAAGTTTTTGAGATATTCGTTTTTTTCTGCCTTAAACACCTTTTTTTCAAAGAAAAATTCTACTTAAAAAAATCATCGTACAGAGTTCTGCCTGTAATCATTTTTTTCGTTTTGACATACTTTTTGGTGAAATAAAAAAAATTGTAATCACAGTTCAAAAACATGCTCAAAAATGCAAAAATGTAAAAAATTACTTGCAGCAATGAATTTTTCAGTAATAGTTGTTTAAATTAAAATAAAAATAAAAACTGAATACACCATTTAATTGTACGGAAAAAATACAAAAAAACTGTCTCATTTGACCCAAAACTATTTTTGTACAGTATTGCTATAAACATAAGTCGAATAGTGAATAAATAAAATAAATAATAATTTTTTTTCCGTAGGATCAATTAGTGTACTTATTTTTTTTAAAGTTGATGAATTCATGGATATACAGTGTGTCCAAGATAAGTATGGGATAGGCATTAGGATCTAGGAAACGGTAAGAGATACGGGGTGGCTCATATTAGAAAAAAGTTCTGTTTTTTATACCTAACTATATGCTGTTTAGAAAGTTTTAAAATTCCGGGTAGTTCCCGAGATATCCGGAAAAACCCGAAATTTTACAAAATTGTTTAATTTTTTCTGGCTTTATTTGATAACGAATTTTAAAATAAATTACATATTTACAATGCCACTTTTTTCGCTCTATCTATCTCTATCGCGTCAACATTTTTGCAATCCGACGTTTCATCTTCGAGGGGCCATCATCGGGTAAATTTTTTTTAAATACGTCGCTGCTATTTTTATGACAAAATCTAAAGTCATTTTTAATTCTGAATTAGATGATATTACTATTGTAATCGCTTAAAAAGTGTTTTTAGCTTGATTTAGCTATAATTTAAAATTTTTCCTGAGTACGGCTCTGAACGCTTTCAAAATATCTATTGGATGAAGTCATAACAGTATAAAAGTCAATACCGCACAAAATATCCAAAAATTTTTTACTACTATTAGCAATACTAATTAGAAATAATAAAATATTTAATAAATTCGTATTATTTTTTTATTAGGTACAACTTTTTAAATTATGGATTAAAAAAAATGTTGGATATTTTGTGCTGTATTGACTTTTATTCTTTCCTCTTTCTCTCTCTTTCCTCCAATAGATACAGGTATTTTGAAGGCGTTCAGAGCCGTACTTAAATAAAAAATTTTAATGATAGCTAAAAACCTTTTACAACAGTAATATCATCTAATACAAAACTAAAAATGACTAGATTTTGTCATAAAGATAGCAGTGATACATGTAAAAAATTTAATCTGATGATGGACCCTCGAAGACGAAACGTCGGATTGCAAAAATGTTGATACCATTCATTGGATAGAGCGAAAAAAGTGGCAATGTAAATATGCAATTTATTTAAAATTCATTTTCAAATAAAACCAGAAAAAAATAAAACGATTTTGCAATATTTCGGGTTTTCGGATTTCGCGTCAACAGTAGACTTTGTTGTTAATACTTTGTATTGCTGAAATCTCAAATCGCCCAGAGATAATTTATTATTTGAGCATTTATAATTCGACTTGGATGTTTATAGCAATACTGTACAAAAATAAAGTTTTGGGTCAAACAATGAGACACGGTTTTTTTTCTAATTTTTTTCCGTAGAATTGAATGGTGCAATCAGTTTTTGAATGTTTTTTTAATTTAAACAAATTATCAAGAATAACTGAAAAATTCATTGTTGCAAGTCATTTTTTATTTTTTTTATTGCATTTTTGAGTATACTTTCACCAATTTTCGTCAAAATTAAATTATTTTTGCGGAAATGAGAAATAAAAAACGAAAAATAAGAAAAATACAGGTTTTTCGCATTTTTATCGGAAATTTGAGGTTATGTTAAAAAATGACCTCTACAAAAGTTGTAGATTTTTGCATGATCTACGACTTTTATGTTGGATACTTTTTTGTTTGACGTCAACTTTCGCCAGAAATCCCAATGATACAATTTTTCATAACTTTTCAACCCCCCAACCAACCCTCCGCCGCCCCTGTTCACGCATTTATTTCTTTTAGGTTTATTATATTATAAGCCTTTTTACCATTTCCACTTATAGTGAGTAGTGTGTTTATGTTTAGGATTACATTTCTGTACTATCTTGTAATTTAGTCTGCTGTTCATTAGTAGTATTCTGATGTTATAATTAATAAGTATATATGATGTATTCTTATATCCTCGTAATTAGGCCGCTAGGCCTGTTAGGGTGTATCAATAAATTAAATTAAATTAAATAAAAGTCCAGGTAACATTTTTTTTTTCTCCAAGTGTAATTCGGTTGGACTAAAAGGGTTTTTGAGTTATTGCAGAGTTATTATTTTTTTCTAAACAACACCCTGTAACTCAGTGAGAGTGCATCGCAGAAAAATATTTTATAAGAATTTTAACCTTATGTTGGTCTGGTCTACTCTCTGGTAAATCTTTGTACGCTGTAAATCAACCAATTGTTAGCATCTTAAATTCAGTGATCGCCCTTTTTTCAAATTTTTGTTTCACAAAATATTAGTTAAAATAATAAAACTGAAAATCATGAAAAATGTAATTTTTATTTTAAAATTTGAATTAAGACATTATTTGAGGTTACAAACAGATTTGTTATATTTAACGAAATGGCTTATTTAATATTTTTTAAATAAGCCATTTCGATCAGAAATTCAATTCTCTACAAAATTTTTCCTATGAACTATACCGAAATTTTGCTTCGTTTTCGTGTTATATTTAAAAAACTGCTAAAGTACTTTTTCAATTCAATTTAAGCCCTCTAATTTAATAGCACCCCGCGGTTTTTTTTATGTAAAATGACCCTTTGAACGATTCATGCAATAAAATTTCTTGAACGTCATAGTTCCTTTTAACCCTGTTTTTTGGATATATTCAACACCAGTCACAATGTTGTAAAGGAAGTTTTTATCCTTTTTGGCACCCTTGATGATGTCCTTCGAATGCTGAACCCTGAGCAATTTCGGTCGTCAGTTAAACTTGTGCGGAACAAACCATGCTCACACTTTTCGGTAGCCCAAATGTTCGTCCAAAATGGGATAAATTGATGTTTTAGAGATGTTCAGTTCTAAATCCACAAATTTCTATGGAGATTTTGGCTGATCTTTGATGAAGTCATGCACATTTTTGATGAAATCTGCGGTGATCACAGATTTCGGTTGATCAACACGGTGCTCATCATTTACGTCCTCACGGCCGTTTTTAAACCCACATACCACTCATAAACTCTGCGACGAGATAAACATTCGTTACCATAATCTTGGTTGATCAATCAATTTTACTAAGTTTAAAACGTTGGATGCTCATTTTTGTACCGATGCCAATGATACAATAGTATATTAAACAACAAGGTTTGAAAATGACTCTTTGCACACGAGCGAGACATATTGGTGGACCGAGCCGAAGGCGAGGTCCACAAGTCGAGCGAGTGTGCAAAGAGGTTTTCAAACGAGTTTTTTACGATACTTTTTATACGACTGCAAACAGAGACCACAAAAATCAAATTTTAATTTAAATCGTTTTTATTACTAAAATTGCCAACGCATTAACAAAATAAATTAAAAGTTGTATTTAATTTATTTTGTTAATGCGTTGGCAATTTTAGTAATAAAAACGATTTAAATTAAAATTTGATTTTTGTGGTCTCTGTTTGCAGTCGTATAAAAAGTATCGTAAAAAACTCGTTTGAAAACCTCTT